TCAAAAAACAAAACAAAATAGGGTCTGGCATGGTGGCTCACGCCTGTAATCCTAACACTCTGGAAGTGTTGGCAGCAGGTGGATTCCAGCACTTCATTCTGAAGCAGGTGGATTGCTTGAGCTCAGGAGTTCAAGACTAACCTGGGCAACACAGTGAGGCCCTGTCTCAAAAGAAAAAAATGCTGGCCAGGGGCAGTGCTCACACCTGTAATCCTAACACTTTGGGAGGCCAGGAGTTTAAGACCAGCCTGAGTAAGAGCAAGACCCTGGGCTCGGCGCTTATAGCTCAACCGGCTAAGGCGCCAGCCACGTACACCTAAGGTGGCGGGTTCGAATCCCCAGCCCGGACCCGCCAAACAACAATGATGGCTGCAACCAAAAAAAAAAAAAAAGCCAGGCGTTGTGGCGGGCGTCTGTGGTCCCAGCTACTTGGGAGGCAGAGGCAGGAGACTCGCTTGAGCCCAGGAGTTGGAGGTTGCTGTGAGCTGTAATGCCACAGCACTCTACCCAGGGGGACAGCTTGAGGCTCTGTCTCAAAAAAAAAAAAAAAAGAGCAAGACCCTGTATCCACAAAAACCAGAAAAATTAGCTGGGCACTGTGGCAGGTGCCTGTAGTCCTAGTTACTGGGGAGGCTGAGGCAGGAGGATCTCTTGAGCCTGAGAGTTTCAGGTTGCTGTAAGTTAAGATAACACCATTGCACTCTAGCATGAGTGACAGAGCAAGACTCTGTCTCAGATTAAAAAAAAATAATAAAAAAAAAAAAGAAAGAAAATGCTGACAGGAAATTTCACAAAGGAGAATAGTGATTATGCTATGAAATAGGATTCAGTCCTCTGAACTTTTCTGCTGTCCCTACCTTTCCCCAGTGTTCTCCAATGACTGTGGGTTACTGTATAACCAGGAAAACAATCAATACACAGTCTAAAGGCAGCAGCACTGGTCAGGAGAAAGGCGCAGACTCAGCTTTCTGCAGAGCCTGCCTTGGGAGCTCCAGCTGTCCCCTAGCTTGGCAGCTGGCCCTTCTCAACAAGGCGACCTTTCCAAGAAGTATGGATTTCCTCGGGTTCAAAGCTGAGTCCTCCTGGCTATCAGGTCTGCTCAGCTACCTTCAGAAACCAGGAGGTGTGCTCAGAGGATCCACTGCCTTTCTGGTAGACCACAGGTTCTCAGGTGTGCACTGAGGGCTCGGGGCGGGGGGCAGCCCCTCAATATGAAGATAGAAACCATAGTCTCAAGCTTGAGGGGCTCAGAGTCTGGTCAGGAGACCGTGTGGGGGCAGCACAGCTGAAGGGCAAATAGGAGGGCCTGGCCCAGGCTATAGGGAATGGGGTGGGGAAGTGGAGCTAGGTTTTTGGTGGCTAAGAAGCAAGTGCAGGGGCAGAGAGGCGTGAACACACAGGTCTGTTCTCACTGACAATGAGAGAGAGGTCAGGTCTCGAGAGTGGGTGTGGGGTCTTGCTCATTGTGCTAAGGGGGCTGGATTTCATCCTCAAGGCTGCAGGAAGCCAATGAAGGATTCTAAGTTGGGAAGAGACCTGCTGACACCACCATGAGCCTTCAAAAGTCACTCTGGGGGTAGAGGGTGGTCTAGAGGGGGTGAGAGAAGTCAAGATGCCAGGTAGGAGTGACTCACAGAAACTGAGACAAGAATTATAACACGGGTTCAGACCACAATGGCGGCTCAGAGCAGGAGAGAAAGAGGGCAGATCTGAGGAGCTAAGGCAGGAGAGTCTAAAGGACTTGGTAACTGACCAGATCTCTGGGGAAGAGGAGTCGAGGTGAGTCCTCGGATGCTGAATATTTGCTTGTACACTGGTCAGGACAGAGGATCCAGGTGGAGAAAGGGGTTCTAGGATGGGGAGAGATGATGGAGCTCGATCTGCTGAGCTGGGGTATCTGGCAGGTGCTCATCTGAGAGCCACACATGACATTCTAGGATCAGGAGAGGGGTGTGGGTAGAAGAGAGAGAATGACCCTGGAGGATGCCAGTATGATTAAGAGGGAAGAGGGGCTCAGTGCCCGTAGCTCAGCAGTTAGGGGGCCAGCCACATACACCAAGGCAGGTGAGTTCAAACCCAGCCTGGGCCTGCTAAACAACAATTACAATGCAATGGTGCTTGTAGTCTGAGCTGCTTGGGAGGCTGAGGCAAGAGAATCCCTTAAGCCTAAGAGTTAGAGGTTGCTGTGAGCTGTGACACGACAGCACTCTACCAAGGGCAACATAGTGAGACTCTGTCTCAAAATAAATAAATAAAAGAGAAGAGGGAGGAAGAAAAAGAAAAAGCGGGGTCAGAAGGGGATCTCCGAGTACAGGGAGGGAAAGAAAGCTGTCATTGGTGGTCTCAGCTCAGCAGCGGCCAGGCAGGCTGGAAACTAGCAGGGTACACTGCCCAGAACTGGCTTCTGCTAGAACCTCCTGGTAAGCACTAAAGGTGCAGGCCTACCCCAGGGCCTCCAGCACCTGCCTGGTCCCCAGCATACACTGGAAAAATGTGCACCGAGGGAACAAGCAGAGGGTAGAGGGCAGAGGCCTAGGTGTGCCTGCAGCGGGTGGAGAGGAGCCCACTGTGGACTCCCAAAGTCTCCAGGTCTCATGGAGGGGAGCAGTGCCCCAGGTACCAGGCCTTCCAGCCCTGGAGGGGAGTGTGTTCGGCCTGCCAGTGGTGACCGATGTGGGGCACTGTGCTGTCTTGTAGGAGGGTCTTCCTCAAGCCCCCTCCCAGGGGAGTGAGTCTTCAGTTCAGGGAACAGCCTGCCACAGAGCAGCTGGCCATGTGCTGAAGGACAGTGCCACCTAGTGGCCATCAGGCGCTCACGCCAGGCCTCTGGAGGCAACAATCCCGGGACACCCTACAGCATCCACTGAGATGGGCTCCGCTGATAGGAAGGTGAGCAGGTTAGAATTTCAGCAGAGATCCATTTGGCCCCACTGCTTGGGCGGACGCACAGGATCCTGTCCTCAGCAGGAGAGACTGGACTGACTGTGGCGTCTTGAGGCTCACACTGAAAGTAAGAGGACACCTGTGAAGCGCTTCCAGGCACAGCTGCTTCCTCCCCTCTTTAACTCGGTCCACAGAATCTCAAGGCCTCCTGCAGCAAGGGCCTCCCCCTGTGGCTCAGGCCTCAGTAGCTAGGTCAGGGTGACTGTCTAGAAGTGGGAGGCAGTCCACACGGCACCTCAGTAGCAGAGAATCCCTCTGGCCATCCCCTTCCCAGCAATTCTTCCCCCAGATTCTTCCTTGGCTTCAGGTTCAGCTCCAGGGGCCCCCAGAGAAGACAATGTTTGTGGACAGTGCCTGCCCAGGAGGGCCCAGACTCCAGGACACACACGGTGAGTCACACCCACCAGCCCTGGGCTCACCCCTCGGTGTTCAGTAGCATTTGGGCCAGGCTATTGGCTGAGGTCACCAAGACCTTCTTCAACAACTTGGCACAGCTCAGTTTCAGTCTCAACTACTGGTTCAATGAAGCAAGATAAAGAGTTCTCCTACAAACATTTTTTAAATTACAAAGAAATGTATATACATTGTTAAAAAATTAGTCTTACATAAAAGTGTGACTTGGAAAGTGGAAGTCTCTTACACATGCAGTTGGTGTGAGTGCGTGTGGGGTATGTGCTGTTGTCTACACTGACATATAGTTCTACAACTTTAGATTTTTTTTCTATTAAAATCATTCCCCTAGAGGTTTTACCACCATCTCACCTCAATTCAGGTTAACTCAGTGACCAAAAACCAACTGGGGAGGAAGGTGAGTCTCCAGGGAGAGGGGAGGGTTTCAGGTAGGCCTAGCGCCCAAAGGCGGGCCCCATGCTAGAAACTCAGACCTGCCCTGGGAGGGGAGATCTGTCACGAGATCTCGGGATGGGGCCAGCAGACGCCATGCAGAATGGGCTGTCCCACACTGCCTGGGCACGCCTGGGCAGGCATTCCCAGCCTGTGCACGGGAAGTGGCTGTCCCACTGGTGTGCCCTGGAAGGTTTCTGCTGAGTTGGGTATACCAGCCCGGTCACACCCGGCATCAGAGCCTGGGAACTGGCCGCTATGCCAGGGCAGAGCCCTGAGACATCCTGGAGGACAAGGGCGGTCTGGTGATCCAGGTCAGGCCCCATGCGCCTGCCTCACAGTAGAGCAAATGCACCCATCGGCACTGTTCGGAGAGTCGCTCGCATCTGCACATGACACAGCTTGTGATATTTTGTAGCCCATGATTCCAATGAAGCAGATAAAAGGAAAGGACTCTGGAGATGCTGGTCAGAATTAGAGGCAGAGCCTCTCTAAGCGGCCAAGGGACACAGAGCTGTCCAGAAAGCTGCAAGACTGCATCCTGGGCCTCCCAGTAACTTGCTGCATGACCAAGCACAGTGGCTTACAGCTCCCAAGTCTGTTTCCTTGCTTACCAAATGGAAGTACGCAGACGGTAGCTCCCTACAATGAGCTGAAACCATTCATATCAAGCACTTAGTACAGTGCCTACTATATAATGAATGCTCAAATGTTACACGTTACTGTGATGATTGGCTGGGTTGTCTCAAAAAAGACATCCAGGACACTGGGGCATCCCCTTCTGGCCACAGCCAGCCAGTGTGGCCTGTCCCCAGGCCAACAGTGATAGCACTGTCCTAGCACACAGAGCAAGCAGTTTAACTCTCCCTGGACAGGATGCTGGGTGGTCAGGGGTCAGGCTGAAGATTAAGGAAATACAACAAGCAGAGCCTCTTAAGTCACAAGGGCCCCCAAACACCTCCATTTCTTGCCTCTTCTGGACCTAGAAAGGGACCCCACAATCTGCCTTATAGGGTCCTTGGCTCCCACTTGGGGAAGGAGATAGGACCAGACAGAAGGCCAGGGGTTCTAGGGCTCAGCTCTATGGGTGGGAGAGCTGGGCCTCTCCTGTCCTGAGTCTCAGGGCTACTGAGGGCTGGAGCCACAGTCTCTCAAGGAGCTGCAACTCAGTGCCCTAGGAGAGGCTTGGCTGGCTGCCCTGGCCCTCGACTCACCCTGGTCGATGGCGTGCGGTGGCAGCTGGCTGAGCTGGCTGTTGACCACCCCTGCGTAGGTGCGCAGAAACTCCTCCTCGTTGGCCGTCAGCTGCAGGACGAGAGAGCCATGGTGAGGAGCAGCACTCACCTGCTCCCTGAGAGGCCTCTGCACTCTCAGAGGCCCCCTTGATCCCTGGGTGGTGCCTCCTCTGCTCCCCAGGCCTCTGTTCCTGAGATTTGACCCCTTCAGTTCCAGCGCAAGCACCCCCTCTGCCACCAGCTGCCACTCTTGAAACCAGGTCCATGGGGCCCATAGCACTCAGAAGGAATCTGAGGTCAGAATCTAGTCTAGTGTAGGGCTGGTGGGAGACACAGGCCCTGCCTGGAAAGCTGACAGGCAGTTCCACATCTCTCCCTCTCTTTGAGAAATACCCCATATCCACATGCCTGTCACCCCTCTCAGTGCAGGTCTGCCCAGGTGCCCTTGGGTGTCCTCCAGGAGAGAAAACTCTTGGGGGTCAGGAAGCAGGGCAAGGAAAGAAAGGTCAAGTCCCTCAGAACCCCCCGCCTGGCTCCCACCTGGCATGGGGGGCTGGGAAGACTGTCTGGCAGTCAGTCCCCCCACACTGGATGTGCTGGGCTCTGTACTTGGGGGAGGCCTGAAGTGGTCACATGGCCATGGAGCCCAGCCACAGGCCCTCCGGAGATGGCTGTGGTCCCCCCTCCATCCTCCCTGGGACCTGCTGCACCACAGCCTGCAGGCACTCACGTTTGATCCCATCTTCCTGAGCATGAGCAGCACCCGGACCTTCTGCTGAATATACATCTCCTCCGGACTCTTCCCGGGAGCTCCCTCGCGGTTCATCCCCCCGGCCCGGCTCTGGGGATTCCTGCAGAGCAAGAGGCAGCATCGAACAGGGAAGGGTCAGGATCAGACCTAATGGCACAGTGACCCACACCCTTCCCTAGGAGCCCCTTTCAACAGTGGGCTCATTTCTGAGAGCACAGAGCAGGTGGCGAGTTGCCGGGTACCCTTCCTTACCCCACTGGTCTCAGCCAGCAGGACGAGGCATCTCTGTTCTGGAGCGGATGCTGCAGGGGGCTGGCCTGCCTGCCACCTCTGTGTGTGGAACTGCCAGGCCCAGGGAGGCTGTGCTGACTCAGACTTGCCAGCCTGCTCTACCTGCCAGCCATCCTACAGCAAGCCTCCTGCAATAAGCCACAGGCCATGTGGTGCATGAAACCCCAAGTGTCCCAGGGTCTCAGCAAGCAACTTCCACAGGAGCAAATGTGACAGGATTGGAGGCAGCTTGTCGAGAAACTGTGAGATTAATGCCCAGCCCCCAAACACCGAGGCAGCTTCCTCAAGAAAAGCCCCTGATGAGTTTGAGGCCAGCTTCTGGGCTGGGCTCCAAGGAGGCCCTTGATGGGGAGAGACTGGTCCACGGTGTGAAACTTGCTACCGCTATCCTCCCAAACCCACCCACATGTCAGAAGGAAGCTCCTGCAGGCCATTGGGAAAGCCACAAGCTGTATCCAGGGGTAGCAGAGACCTGACCTGCAGAAAGTCCCCAGGAGAGAAGTCCAGAGCTTCCTCCCTCCAGGAGGAGCTGGAGGAGAGGAGACCGGGTGTGGAGGGGCTTGGGTTACACACTTGTAACTCCTGGATGAGTCAGAAATAACGCAGCAGCTGGTGGGGTGGAGCCTTATCAGCTCTCATGCCAAGGAGCTGCGTGGGGAGAACCAGGGAACCAGGCTGGTGGGCCAAGGACATCCTCACACTGCTCATCCCTCCAGGGCCAGCAAGCCCTAGACCCTCGGGCTCTCTCAGTCAGGCTCTCCATGCACAGGGTGGACTCAGAAACGTGCCAGAGCCACTCAGCCATGGAGGGAGTTAGGGCTGTTGTAGGTAACAGAATACTATAGGCACCTATCAGCGGCTCGTTCCCCATAAGCTGACAGGGCCCTCGCCCCCAAACCCAACCCACAAACTAACCAGCTGCTGGTCAGGGCACGTGCAGCAGCTGGACGCGCGGCTTGGGGCCCGTTTCCTCCTGCCCTAGAGTCCCCGACTCCCTCACTCTGCCTCCTTCTCCCCTTCAACCTCCTCTGGGGCTCTGAAAAGGGCCAGAATAGTGACCAGGGCCAGGAGGGAGGAGTAACCCACTTAAGAGTGGTCTCTGATGAGAGAGCACAGCCTGGTGTGTGGGGAGGTGAGCTCCTGCATGGCTGAGTGGGGAGCTCCGTCACCGGGTTTCACTTCTCTGCACGTCACCTCACACTCGCTTCCTTCCACTTGGGCAGCCACACAGTGGGGCTGGTCTGGGGCTGCACGCCATACATCCTGCGGGAGAACCCTGCCCCTGGCCTTGAGCAGATCGTGTGATCGATACTTCCCCCCCTTCCACCTGGGTTGGGGCTATGACATGGCCTCCCACGATCCCCCGCTTCCTTGTCCTTTTCTCTTCATGGTAGCCAGAATGACACCACTCCCTACTTAAACATACCTGGGAATATATTCCACAGTCCCTGCCAGGACCTTGCAAAGCCCCACACGATCAGCTTCACCTCCCCTCCCCTCACTCTGCCTTCCTGGTCCCAGGTCTGATTTTAGAATGTGCTGAGAAGCTCTTTCCCCTGGGGCAGTCTTTGAGCTGGGTATCCCCCCATCCCGAAACTGGTTTCTTCATCTGGGCTTAAAGAAGCCTTCCCATGGAAGCATCGGTGATGGTGTAACTGAAGCTGTGGCCCTGGTCCACTGTCCCTGTACGCTGGCAGTGCCTTGCTGGCAGACTCTCTCATTGTCACTGCAGGCAGGACCCTGTCTGCCTTGCTCCTCCCCCCCCCCCACCCCGTCCTCCTGAAGCCTAGCACCTGGCAGGAGCCCGTTGGCTGAATGGAACAGTGGGATGGCCTAGGTGTCTAAGCCTCCACTCTCTATAATATCCATATTCCTTTAGGGCCAAACATCATTGTGTTAAAAGAGATCAAAGTATCTAACCCGGTCTCCCATGTGCCTGGACTGCTGTTTTTAAAGTAGTGAACCTTGGCCTATTGGGTTCTCCAGAGAACATCTGAAATGCTCCGTCTGTAAAGCCCTCGAGTTGTGAGTTAGGGCTTCTAGGAGTAAAATGCCTCCAATCAGTTCTGTACCCAAGGGCTGGTTCTCAGTCTGCTCTGTCCTGGAGAAAGACAGGGTGGAATGCAGGGGGTGGCCACTAGGTGTCACCACACACGTGGCACCAGAATTGCAGTCTGCCTACCTGACGGTGTAGGGAGGGCTCCTGACCTCTGGGCACCAGCAGGCCAGTTCTCAGCCCCCATGGGAAATGATCACCCTGGTTTGGGCTGTTCTTGCTCCAATCCTACTATCACAAACCACGCTCCAGTCCCAGGGCCCCGGCAAGATCTCTTCATTCATTCAGAGGGCTGGTGTCTGGTTTTAGCTGCCCTGTCCTCAGGACCCAGTGGTCTGGGTGCTCACTGGGGGACATCTATTCTCAGCACGCGATCAGTCTGCATGAGGCCTGTTTTCTTAGATTTTGCTCTGTCCAACAGTCCTACCCTGCACACCCCATACAGACTGGCGCCGTCCCGTCATCTTGGCTGTTGCAGCCTCACTGTCCCCAGGGATACCTCATGCTGTGCTTCCTGGGCACTCACAGCTGCCCAGCCAGAGAACCTCTGGTGCCTGAATGAGCCTCAGGAGCCAGGCTGCTCCCACATCAACATGTTCCCCAGGCAGATGCTGTTTCTGAAGCAAAACTCTTGTCATCTCCAAAAGTCCTGGTCAACTAGCATTCTTCCAGCTCCAGTCCCAGCTGACACAGGCCTGCTGCCTGACAGAGAGGCAGCGCTCAGGGCCGGATCCAGGGCAGAATGTGACCAGGAGCACTCGTCCCGCTCTTCACACTCCAACCCAAAGGAAGGAGAAACATCATGGCTGGGCCACCTAATTCTTTTTTTTTTTTTTTT